CTTCTTTATGCACCAAGAGCTTGTAACACTCCAAAGAGAAAGGAAAAATTGAAATCGCATCATATGACCCCTTTAATAGTAATTTGATCATTTATTCGAATATTGCTACAAGCCACAAAAACAGATCTAATCATTTCTGATAACTAAAGTCAAAGTCAGTTTTTATATAAAATATTTTATATTAAGTAAGTTTTATCCAAAGCAACTTGCAGTACACTTATTACAGAAACATCTCCCTTGTGGTAATCTGGGGTTAGGATTGTAGGGCACAACGGTGATGGCTTGGACTTCTGACTACCAACTAGGGTTGGGCGATGTCTACCAAATTGGCATTGGACGATGTCTACAGTGAAATGGGGGCGAGGTGATGAACAGGGATGGGGGGCGGATGTCTACAGACATCGGGGGTGGGGTTAGGGGCTGTGCCCGAAGCGTGAATCTGTATGCAGAAAGGCACCGAAAACAAATAACGCGTTCTACGGAGCCACTAAAGGGACATGGTTAGCCGCTTGCTAGCGGTAGACTGTTACAGTGCATGAAAGTTCACTTACCACATACACAGAGTAAGGAGAGATGACTCATAGGACAATGGCGAATGATTTGCAGATACTGAGCACCACTGACAAATATCTAATCTTGTAAAATGTATGGTAGGTACTGCCGCTCCGTAGTATAGAGTCCGTGTGATCGCGAATCTCGAAAGTGAAAGTAAAATGAGAGTGCGCATTCGAAAGTGGTTTCAATGCCCTGCATATTAGTAGCGGCTCCCTGATGCCCGCAATTACCCAACGATATAATTGTGAGAGAAAGTATTGAAATATTTTTTTTTATCCTCCCATCTCGTAGGCTATTTATTCCCTTTAGGGGTTCCGTAGTACACTTAATTTCCTTTCCGAACACGGAATTGGGATGCGGCAGAATGCGGGGGGTATGTGGGGGCCTCAACATCGTGATGTCTGTCAGCCATCGGCGATGAACGATGACATCGTCTATCGGCCCAACCCTACTACCAACCAAGAATGCACAGTGAGTTTTACAGTGGACAGTTCTTCTAGTTTAGCATTCCCTGGCCTGGTCTAGAGTTTAGCCCTACTTTATTGAGTGCATCAGTGCTCTAAAGTAGTACACATAAACCAGTTTGTCGTTTAACAGAACTGGAGCTGACCCTGAATCTGTGACCTGCTTCAAACCCGGCACTGAATTGTAGGTTTGTGCTGCGGACCCTCTGGAGGGTGGATACTTTACTGGACTGCGTGGTGCAGAGCAAGACCCCTGGAACCATACTGTCCTCGTTCTCTCTAGTGTCCTCATTCAAAGCGCAGAAGTGTGTTTATATGCAGGCCAGATCCTCAGGACAGTGCTGAAGCCAGCAGGAGAGGAAGTTACTCCCTGGTGCAGGGCATTGTTCTTCACAGGAGGGAGGAGAGGTAGATGGGTAAAAAAGAAAAAAGAAAAGAGGGGTTACTGCGATGGCTAAGAGCAGTGTTCTTGTGCTGTGATTGATGGTGTGTAAATGAATATATCTGGCCCACTTCTGGTTCCGCTCATGCAAAACCACCAGAGCCAGTTGGTCCCAAGGCAATTGGTGACACAGGGACACTCACAGCTTGGACTATTTCTGCTCAGACTCCGTTCCGTGTCAAGGTTGCTCAGACAAGCGTGCTTGTCCCAGACTCCCTAGTTACCCTCGTTTTTGCTGCTGGATACGGCAACAAATGAGGATATGGACAGGGAGCAGTTGTTAATGAATACTGCGGCCCCCATAATGATGCCTGCTAGACCCTCTTGACTGTGTGAAGGACTGCGTTCCCGTCGGTCGCGGCCCGTCAGCTGGTGAACTCGCACCTGACCCGGCTGTCCCCGGAGAGCCCATGCTCAGGGTCTGCTGAGGTGGGAGCAGATGCCTGTGGACCTTTTCATTTTTTATATTGTTTGGCTCAGAGGCCTATAGTGAAATAGAATAATCAAGAACAAAACGGCAAACTGAAATTCCCCCTGGCTTCAGGTTATTTTCCTGCAGTTGGTGTTGTGCGGTGTATGAAGCTAATCGGGTTCAATGGATGACTTCCAGAATCAGCTCCCGTAGAAAGCTAGAGCTATATCTCAGAATCTCGTGTTTGATATGAAACTTTCATATGTCTGATATCTACAGAATAAGTATCTTTCAAATATGTTTTTTATATCTACACCCCAAAATGAACTCAAACAAGGCAGCAATATGAAATTCTCAATATATTTGAAACAAAGCCAAAATAGAGTGAGAAGATACTTAAAGGCAGAGTAAGTGATTTCTGGTAGCCAATGTTGATATGCGATTTATCGTGCAGCCCTAGTCCCAAGTTGTATATAATATGGTATGTTATGTATGCTATAGTATAATAAGTTATTTGTACACTGAAAAAAATGTTTCATTCATCCAATTAAAAAAATTTAGATTTACACGGGTCCTACTTCTTGCCTTATCCTTCCGCAGACGTTTTCCTCTTTTGTTTTTTAGCCGCCATCTCTATCTCTCTGTCGCTTGACTCGGCTAATGTCCGTCCCATGCACTGAACACGCTCTCCTCCACATCACGAGTAGACACGCCCCTTATTGCTGATTGGCTACAAGTTTGTTAAAAAACTTATACTCACTCTCAGGCCAGCCAAGATGTGTATGAGTTTGTTTCTTCATTTAAACAGATTTGGAGAAATTCAGCATTGCATCACATTGCACTCACCAGTGGATCCTCTGCAGTGAATGGGTGCCGTCACAATTAGAGTCCAGATGATAAAAACATCACAGTAATCCACAAGTAATTGACACGACTCCAGTCCATCAGTTCCTTTGTTATTCCTATAAATTTGTTATTGCATCAGGTGTGGACTTGAATAGGTTTGAAATTGGTCCATGCAAAGGAAAATATTGACAGCATAATAGAAATGCAGCGGCTATTTGCGCTAAGTGCAAATAGCAATGGATTCTATTTACTCTAAGTCAGGGCTGTCCAAACTCGGTCCTGGAGGGCCAGTGTCCTGCCCACCCCTAG